CATTAATTTTTTAAATTAATTAAAATGATTTATAGAAATTACTCAAAATTGATATTAATTTTATGTATTTTTTTCTCCTACAAAACTAAATTCATACCCTTTAGTTTTCTAATGGTAAATAAATTATTTTTTTTACATTTGCCGATTGTTATTAAAATCGGTGTTCTACAGGACAGTGCAAATCTAAACCACCGTTGATGTTGAAATTCGAAAAAAAAAACATTAGGGCATTGAATCAGAGATTATTAAAAAGTAAACTTTGATTAATGTTAGAAGATTTGGGGCCTAACCGTTGGAACTTGGAACTAGCAAATGACCGTTGGACATGCATCATTTGCCGACAAAACATTAATTATTTATATTATTAGTTTTTTTCTTTAATTCTACTTAAATTTGATGCAAGTCAAAGAAAAAAAAGATTTCGCGGATGATTAAATATACAAATATATAAGAAGCACCATTGTTCTCATCATACGTCCTCCTAGCGAGGCTCAAGACCCTCATGTGCAATAATAAGCGCAATAAATACAATTTTTCTCTATTTATCACATCCCATGATACATATATATATTGTTGGGATAAATTATCAAAATCAATATAAATATATTAAATTCGTTAGTTAATATATATTAATGTATAATAATATTTTCTGAAAATACCGAATTTGGTCGGAACGGATGAGCTGTTTAAATATATATATATATATATATGTGTGTGTGTGTGTGTGTGTATATATATCAACCACAAAAAATTGGGAGTATTTTATCAAAAGGGGTACAATTTTTCTAAAAATATTTTGTACGAATGAAAATTACTGCAGCTAATATTAGCAATGAAATATTTTCGGGGGAAGAGAGAGAATAATGGCAAGTTGGGTGTGGAACAAGGTCAGTGTTAAGATTCGGAGATCACATGTGTTCGCTTATCTCTATACACTTTTGTCTGTTAGAGCTCAGACCATTGTTTTTTCCTCTCTCTCTCTCTCTCTCTCTCTCTCTCTCTCTCTCTCTCTCTCTCTCTCTCTCTCCATCGTCACGCACAGAACATGCTTATATACACATGTGAAACCCTAATTTTGTTCTATTTTTGACTCAGTGAAACCCTAGTTTTATTACACAGGGTTTCTTCTTTCTGACTAAAGGTTTTCGAAATAGTTACTGAACCAATCCTTATTTTACACCGCTGTAAAACGATATGACATTTCTTTGTTTGGGGCTTATTAGCATTTTACATTGATATTTTCTAACGTTTCGATATCCATGCATATGCATTCTTAAATAAATAATTTTGGAAACCCTAAGTTTTGGATATTTGGTATAATCTTCTATCAATTAGACTCGAGACACTTGAACATTCGATTTGAACAACAAATGGGTTCGAATATATATATATATATATATAAGAAAGGAGAAGACAAAAAGGTTCACATGGGGCATTAAAGTGGCGCGACAATTCAATTTCATTTCAATCAAAGATTGAAGAAGCGAATGAGACAGGGTGTTAGGTAATGGCAGTTGGAACCTTTTTGCATGTGCCCTCTCTCTCCTCTGCTTCTTCTTCTTCCTCACTCGCATCACATGCACCTCTTCTCCCTATGTTTAGGAATCTTCTCTTGTCTTGTCACACACAGATATATATATATATATATATATATATATAGATACATATTCATGCACGTACTTCAATAAACGATATCCACATATACTATCATTCGTTTTCCTATTGGTAACTGGAAGTATACCTTTCATTAGTGTTTTCATTCAAGATCATTACGACTGGTTTACATAATAAATATGGATTTAATGTTTCACAAAAAAATGTTTTTTTGTCAGACCAAAGGATCTAATAGTTTTTTCTTATCAACGAAACTCTTATATCTCAAAATTGCTATCTATAAAAAAAATGGCTGAAAATAATTCTGATATGTGCTTTAAAACAATAATTTGCAATTCAATTGATTGTAAATGTGTTATTTAAATTCTAAATGATTACAGGTTCTATATATTCTTAGTTTGGTGTTGGAATTTTCATATAACAATTTCAAATATGAACATTTTACTACATTTTGAAGAAAACATTCGTTTCCTATGAAAACTCAACGATACAATTAATATCACACTCAAACACAAATATATATATATATATATATAAGTCTACAGACTGCAGTATAGTAAATTAAGATTATACAGGACAATATATTAACTATTTTGCATGTGAACTAATTGCACACATGGAATTGTTCTATCATTTATATCTGTCTAACATATCTATATCTACATATGTGTGTGTATATATACCTCAAAATTTGGATTAATTTTTTTTATTGAATTATAATAAATGATTGTACATAAATTGGGAGTATGATATTGACCATTTCAAATTTGCAGAAAAGAGAAGAAAAAGTATTAGAGCTTTTGTTGAAATTTAAAAGGAAAGCTTTTTTTCCCCTTAATCACAGGCAGATCTTCCCAACGTTATTTTCGGTGTTCCCCAAACCATTGGCGGCATCGTTTATCAAAAAAAAAAAAAAAAAACATTGGCGGCATGACACATATGCATTCTCCTTGTGTACTAATAGAGAATCATAAATATAAATATATATATATATATAACATTTATTTATATCGCCGTGGGTTTTTTTCGGGTTTCCCCAAACCATTGGCGGCATCGTTTATAAAAAAAAAAAAAAAAAAAACCATTGGCGGCATGACACATATGCATTCTCCTTGTGTACTAATAGAGAATCATAAATATAAATATATATATATATATAACATTTATTTATATCGCCGTGGTTCCCGCACTATATATTCAATTTATATTTTATAAGCGTTAAATTGAACTAATCCAAATAATTTTTAAAGATTCTTTATCAACGGGTGGCCGAATGGTAAGGTGAGAAAGGGCAAAGTCTCCTCACCCGAGTTTGAACCCACCTGGACATCCGAGTTAAGAAAATGTTATAATAACAAATTATTTAAATACACTCTTACTATACATAATATTATATCTTATTATATTATTGGTATATATCTTTAAGAAATATGTCTTGAATACTATGTATATCCCTAATAGATATTTTGAATATATCTTACATACAATAAGAAAAAAACAAGCCGATCATATAAACTGTCCGAACTCTGTGCAATAATAGTTTAAACTTTAACGATTTTTATGATATTAAATTAATTAAACTTTTTAAACCTTAACATAGACCAAAGTTTTAATGACGTATATAATTCTTGTTTGTGCAAATTAAATCTTTTTTCTGATTTTGTTGTTATTATTATTATTATTATTAAAAGAAGATGTGGAAAAGAGAGTGATGGAAATTTAGGAGAAGGGAGAGGATTTGTCTCTAAGGACTAATTGAGGAATGCCACTTCACTTTTTTCTTTCTTAGGTTAACAGGAAACCCAATCCATTTTGATTTTTGAAATGCCTACCCAACTCTCCCCATTGGTCCACGTGTACGCAACTTATTCAATTTCAATATTTTGCATTTAACATACATTACTCTCTCTCTCTCTCTCTCTCTCTCTCTCTCTCTCTCTCTCTCTCTCTCTCTCTCTCCACGCAATCGCTTGCGACGTGGAAAAATAATATTTTAGTATTCAAGTTTTCTTTAACGGTGATGAAAAATTTTAGACCATTTATTTAATCCGCAATTTCTTTAATAGTTTTGAAATCCAACCGCTAAAACGCGACGTAAAATATTTAAAAGAAATCAGACACATCAACTCAAAGTCTCAAACCCCAAAAAAAAAATATTCAAAAAAAAAAAGATATATTGTATTGGAAATATCTTTGTTATACTACACATATATATAATACGAGGTATTTCTGTACATTTATGAGCTGTATCAATGGAAAAATTAGACGAATAGATTTATAGTATATAGTTTTAAAATTGGAGTATCGGTCGGCAATTGATATGGAAGAACATAAAATTAATCGAAACCTGAAAGGACTAGGAATCTTATCGTTTTGTGACATTTTTGGGCCCTTTGGATACCTTTTTAGTCACGTTTGGTTTGATGTGTTTCATATACTATTACAAATATTTTATTTGGAAAAGATTTCATAACAACCGTTCAAAAGTTTAAGGGAAATCAAAGTTGGATTATTATTATTATTAATCATAGCAATAGCATATTATTAAATTATTAGCCGCGCGCGGATGCAACCTCCATCGTCGGTTATATCTTCATTGTGATTATCATTAACGTCGAAATCTCCAAGGAATCGTGTTGCATCATCATCATCACCACCACCACCACCACCATCATCATCATCATCATCATCATCGTTGGTTTATACATTGATTAATGTCTGAAACAGTTTTGTGTATTTTATTGTTTTAGCGTTACAAAAAGTAGGCCCATAATGATACGGCCCAATTTTCGGTTTTTGGATATCACACATTATTATTATTATTATTATTATTATTATTATTATTAAAAAATTGTTTTCGGGTTTGAATTGAAACTATTTATAAGACTTGCATTTGTAGATGCGTGATAAGACTAAGAGTAGTGAACTAGTGACATGTGTAACGGATGCATGGATTCGTCGAACATGGAGATTTTGTAGTCGGAGAATGAGGAGACCGCCATCTTCTCCGGCGATCTCATCAGTAATATTCTCACGCGCCGCCCTGAAACCTCCGTTTTCGTTGAGATTCTCACGCGCCGTCGGGACGGGTGAGGCGCCGATTAGCCTAGCCAACGGATGCGTGTGCGTTTTCTCCTCCCGGTTTGAACCGACCAGGTTTTGGATTTGATAACCGAACCTCTGGTTCTCTTGTTTACCAACCTTAACCGGTCTTTAACGTACGTTTCTTTTAATAAATGAAACGATAGCGAGAGAGATCCGTACCTTTATTGATTGAAACCGGAAAAAAGATTTGTTTCAATCTAAATTAGGAGCTAGTTTCCAAGACAAATCGAATTCGGGAAGTAATCATTTTTTGAGATTTCTTAAATAACATTTATTTAGAAGGAAAATAAAAGAGAGATATATTTTTTCCCCATCATTCAATCAAAGAGACAACTACTCCACTCGGATTCCATTTTTGTACAAGAGGAGCATTTCACACAACAAAAGAATTTGAACCCCCAACGAAATTTATATGATCAACTAAATGAAAAATAAAACTAAACTCCATAGGATTTGCCCAAACAAAAAATGAACCTCGTACAAATGCTCCTCTGCCCCCCCTCTCACAATGCCGAAAGGAAAAAGAGGAAATTGATGGTCTCCTACTCTACTCGGAGTCGGTGTCCACACTCTCCATGCCTTTCAAGCCCCTTCTCTTTTGCTGCTGTATACAAGAGACGTTTAGATCCAGAATTCGGTCTCCATCACATTACAAAAAATTAAGAAAATAAAATTCCTCAATCTTGTTTTGGGTTTCTATTTGTTCAACCTTTAAGAGATTTAACCAAATTATATACATATATATATATATATATATATATCTCAAGCAACTTGATTTGGAGTTTTATATCACCCATTAATAACACTTCCTAATTAGTGTTTTATTCTCTTCTTGGGTTTTCTTAAAGAATGAAACATATGCCAAAACAAAGGAAAATAAAAATAAATAAAGAAAACAGTAAGCAAAGCTCATTATTCTCCCAACACAAATCTCCATTAGGTGGGGAGTAGGTCCCACGTCTTGTCGACTTTCTATAATTTTTTTTTATAAGGTCCACTCATTTTGTCCACAACTCATCATCCCCAACCTCCACTAGACATACAATCTATATGTATGTACATATCCAAGCATAAAGGTCAAAGATTTATTTCATAATTTGTTATTTTTGTGAGCAAGAACTCAGAACAATGAAAGAAAAAAGAACCCTAATCCTTAAATCGTGATTTAGGGTTTTAAAACGATGAAGTTAAATTATGAGTCATAATAATTGGTGACAGTGACAGAAGAGTAAAGTTACCTTCTTTACAATTTTCTTCTCTCTGACCTCATACCGGCTCTTGGTCAAGTCAGAAAGCCACATCCCTGGAAAACAATACTGCCAAATACAATCCAAAATTTTCAAAATTAGGGTTGAAAAAAGTCAACTTCTTTACAATCTATCTTCCTCTTTGTGGATTGTGATTTGAAAAAACAACTAAAGATGGAGACTTTGGGGAAAAAAATTACCTGAAGGGCTCTATCAACGTTCTTGGCTCGTTTCCGGGGCCGATGCGGGAGCTTTGTTCCTTTCATCGCCAAGAAATCTTCCTCCTTCTCTTTCCTAGACAGGGCAATGTAAATCCTCGGCCACTCCATCACTTCCACGTGCGCCGTTTTCTCGCCATTGTTGTTGTTCGTCTCGTGCTCCAATCGAGCCTGAGCCGTTGATTCTGATCGGTTCACACGTTGATGGTGATGATCGAACCCGTTTTGTCTCTGTTTGCCGTTTGATTTCTTCTCGATCTTGTCCGGCGACGGCGGAGATCGCTTAGCTCCGGTCGCAACGGCGGTCGATCTGGACAGAACACGGCCGCTGCCGCCGTGGTTTCTCGCCGGCGAACCATTGGCGGCCGATCGGTCCTCTAAATTCCTGGGCATGACGTAATAAACGCAAGCTTAAAGCGACCAACAGGTGATTTTGATAGGGCTACTAATTCTTTCCCTTTAATTTTATCCTATCTTTTTTTTATTCCCCTGTTTTTGCTTAAAAAAAATAAAGTTTGAGACTTTGAAAAGAGTAGTTTTAAGTTTTTTTTCCTTCTTTATACCCAAAAACACACGAAATTTAGGGAAGAAAATTACTACCCATTAGACCTAAGAATCGGGATAAAAAACCCACAAGAAAAGATTAATTAACACTTCACTGGGAAAAAAAATGGAAAATCTAAGATCAAACTTAAGGGGAGAGAGAAAATTGATTTGAAAGTTTGAGAGAGACGAAATGGAAAGGAGAAGATTTTAAGATCGCTAAGACGATTTCAAAAGAGGCATATCACTTGGAAATCGGGAAAGAAAGCCAAAAATAATTTCAGATCTGTTATAAAAAAAAATACAATTAAGGAATAGATGGTTAAAAAGTCTTGGATATTAGCAGGGAAAAAAAATACCCATCAAAGCAAAGCAAATGAAAACCCTAGAAGGAACAGAGACTTGGGGGAAAACAAAGGGACACAAGTGAAGAAACAATCATCGAGCTCTGCTTCTTGTCCTCAGAGGGGCATTAAAGTAAAATGCAGAAAAAGGAGTTTTTGATCACCAACTTTGGTAAAAGATGAGAGAGCCCCAAGCGTTAATTGGATCCCAAAACAGAAAATGTATGGCACAAAAAAAAAAAGAGGAATAAGGAAGTAAATTAATTACAACAAAACTGAAAATAAAAAATTTTAGAAAACACGATATATTAATTATTTGTCGCTTATATAAGGATGAACAAAAATAAACAGCTATGTAAGTCACAGTCAGAGAGAAATAATAACATTATTCAGGAAATAAATCCAAAGATTTGGTTTTCAGTTCTGTAAAAAGAAATATTTGCAATATAAAAAAAAAACAAGACAGAGACCAAAATATAAAAAAAAAGCGTGGAGGAAAATGAAAAAATGGCAAACCTTGTACGGATGAATCCAGATGTAGATTCCTTGCTTGCGATGAAACTGTCTCTCGGGTTCGTACTACGGCCAGAGGATAAGCCGCCGATGAGAGGGGGG